CACGTACCCTACCCCGCCTAGTTGGACGAGGCTTTGTTGTTATTGCTGTTGTTTAGTTGGTCTACCTAAATAGCAGTGTTTCATGTAGTGATGAATTAAAGCTCACTCAAAATTGGGGGAAGTGTGAACTTGACTCCCTAGAAAATGTAATGCTATAATTTATTTTACTCCCTCCGTCCCAATTTAAATTGTCTGTTTTGATTTTCAATGTTTGACTGAAATTATTTTCAAATTAAAATAATTTTAAAATTTATTTAAGAGTGATGACTATAATACTGGGACTGTTGTTATTGTTGATGACTTATTTTGAACAAGCCTGTGGCTACATATCATGAACAGCCTCTATGCTATTTCTAGGTAGTGTAAGGTCTACTTAAACCCATACTCCATTCATGGGATTTTAATACATCGGTTGTTGTTTGGTGGCAACATAAAATAATAACTCAGATCACTAAATTTATTTTTGCATATTTTATGGTAGATATTCAACAACAACAACAACAACCCAGTTAAATCCCACAAGAGTAGGGTCTGGGGAGGGTGTGTGTACGCAGACCTTACCCCTACTCGAAAGTAGAGAGGCTGTTTCCAAAGAGACCCCCGGCTCAACGTCGAAAGTTGCATTGTTTGACTAACTGCTACTTCATTAATTAAAGAAGCGCAGACAGTTTAGAGATCCATTTTGATTTATTCCATCACACCCCAAAGCCAAAAAATGGTGAAATTTTGGCTCCATCGGAGATGATGGATAATACATCCATTTTAAGTTCATGATGGATATTACAACAACAACAACAACAACTGGGTTGTTGTTGTTGTTGTAATCTTGTACTAGATTCTAATTGATTGCAATTGTGATAGTTTATATTGAATTACTTTGGATAGTCGAGTAAGTTGCATAGTTTTATTTTGTTGGCAACATAAAAGAGTAATTTAGATCATTACATTTATTTTTGCCTATTTTTATGGTAGATATTCATGACAGGTAATACTTCCAATACATTTTCCATGAGCTCTCTTCTGGAGCAAGAGAAGCTTAATGGAGAGAATTTTCTAGATTGGTACAAAAACTTGAGGACAGTCCTTGAGCAAGAAGGAACATTGTACTCATTATTAAAGAATAATAATGAAAGAATTTGTGTTGCAGGTATTTATGTTATAGACTTATAACTATTTATTTATCTTGTTGACTTTCCATTGAGTTTTTAGTATGGCACATGGTTCTCACAGTCATAGGTCTTAAATATGCAGGGCCTAAAGAATTACAACATGCAACACAGGTAATATATAGACCAATATATTGCAATGGAACAAGTGATTGACCTTAGTTTTATGATAAATATTCCCTCCATCCACAATTAGAGTTTTGTTTTTTAAATTGGTATGTCCCACAAATAAACTCAAAGTTTTACCTTTGGAGTTTCATACGACTGCGGGTGGGATTAAGGGAAGGGATAGATCTAGGAAGAATTTGGAGGGAGGTGATTAGACAGGACCTCGGACTTGTAGGCCTTAGTCTTACCGAGGATATGACCTTAGATAGGAACTTTTGGAGAGCTAAGATTAGGGTAGTTGAGTAGGTCTACGTACACACACACACACCCTGCCCCCAACCTCACTCTCGTGCGATTCAACTGAGATGTTATTGTTGCTGTTATAGCAAAAGTCTAATACTTTAAGTATTTTTTTCTAGCCCACTCAGAAAGATAAAGCATATACTTTAAGTTTTTTTCTAGGCCAACTCATTCCAATGAAAAATAAGAAGGAATATGGTACATTGTACTGTGAGATCTTCTCGGGTCAATGTTAAATTAAAATGAAGAAAAATCATTTAAAAATGTGGTGGCAATTTTGTAATCAAACAGAACTTTTCTGTCACCGCAAAAAGTGCAAAACTTACAAAGTAATAGTGCATCAAGACGGATCAAGCGTTTCTGTTTTTTTTACTTTTTATTGGAACCACACAACGTGCATATATGAGGGCTAATGTTACACCCATTTATTTGATAGACATTCTTATATGCACAATTGTGTGTTCTCTTGAAAATGTGTGTTCTTGATGATAAAGCATGGTATATTTTCGTAGATTTATCCTTGATTAATTACACTTCATAGTTTTAAAAAATCCTTGTAGGAATCCTAAAAGGAATTTATTCTGCAGTTACGATTATGGGTCTTGGTTAAGAATGTTATGTGTTCTCACTCACAGAAATATGACCTTATGAATATCTAAAAAAAAATTTACTTGCTCTTACCAAAATTAATTGTGGAAAATTTGTTGTTACATGATTGTTCGGGCATGGAGAGCGGTTTTCGTGTTACACCACCAACATGTACTTATGCCCCCCCCCCCCCCCC